CCTCTGGTGTGCCTACTCTGACACGCACTCAGAGATGTGTCCCCACTCCTGTGTGGTAACACTGACGGGGGGTGGGGTGTCCCCTAATCACCCAGGTGTGTCTACCCTGATTTTATGTACCTCTTAATAACCAAAAGGGTCTCCTCTGACCTGAGATGTACCTTATCATCAATTATGACCGCCCTGGGATGTGTCCCTAATTCACCAGGTGTGACAGTGGATATCGAATTCCCCAGGTGTCTCTACCCTGACCTGAAATGTTTCCTTCAGTCTCCAGGTGTGTCTACCCTAAACTTGCGTCATGTCTGAGGATTCCTCGATGTATCTTCTCTGAGCTGGTACAGCCGCTCTAGCACAGTTGTGTCCACCTGGGCGGGGGTGCATCTCGAATCCCAGATGTTCCTGTTGTGACCTGGTTCGTCTCCCTAATTCTTTAGGTGTTGATCCAGGGCGTCTCATTCCTCAGCTGTGTGTCCACGGACTTGAGAGGCCTCCTGTTGGTCGGCACCACTCGGGCAGTGTCCTCTTTGCTTGTTTTACACTGACTGGCACGTCTCCTTAATTCCACAAGTCTGTCTACCCGACCGTCAGTGTCTCCACAGCTCCTGAGATGTATCTAAACCTGGGTTGTTTACTAATTCCCCAGATGTGTCTACAAAAAGTGGTATTTTAGTCTAATATACCAGTTATGTCTACACTGACCTGAGCTGTCTTAATTCCCCATGTGTGTCAACACTAGCCGAATAGGACTCCACAGACTCCCAGGTGTGTCTACCTCAACACTGGATGTCTCTCTGACATCACAGGTACGGCTGCACTAAGCTGGGACGTCTCCCTGACGTCTGCACCCGACCCGCTTTGCCTACCGAGCACCCCAGGCATGTGTACTCTGACCTGGGGCGTCTGATACCTCGGGGGGGGAGGTGTACACTTTGACCTGGGGCCTCCCTGGCCCCCCAGCTGTGCCTGCCTTAATCTGAGATGTCAGATCGGATGTCTAATCATACCTGAAATGTCTAGTCCACAAGTGTGTCTACACTGAACAGGGATGGCTTCCTGAAGCCCCAGATGTGTCTATCCTGACCCGGGACGCATCCTGAGTGTTCAAGGTGTGTCCATACTGATGTGCGAGGCCCCTCTGGTTTTGCAGGAGTGCCTACTTTGACCTTCTTGTCCACACAAAGCCCCAGGGGTGGTGTCTGCGCAGGGACAGCTCCCTGACTCCCCAGGCGCGTCTCCCTGCATCGGAAGGCCTCCCGTTCCGTGTCCACGTGACCTGGGCTGTCTCCCTGTTCCCGGCAGGCCGCCTCTGGTCTGCGACGTGTCCCCAGTCCCCCAGGTGGGTCTCCTGTGACCTGGGCTGTCTCCATACCTTGTCCTAAGCCTCTGCCTGGACGTGGCGTTTCTCCCTGGTTACTCCGGATTGTCCAACGTGACCAAGACGTCGAATCCTGGGGTGACCACCACGCCCCCGGATGCCCCGTTTCCCCACGTGTCTGCTCCGACCTGGGAGGACTCATTCTCCAGATTTATCCCTATGGACCTTGACGTCTCCGGGATTTAGGCCTTTTCCCTCAGCCGTGTCTACTGGGAATTTGGAGGTCTGGTTCCTCAGGTGTGTGGACTTGACTCGGGCTCGCTCTTCTTCCTAGGTGGACCCACTCTCACCCGGGATGCCTCCCTGGTTACCAAGGTGTGTTTGTATTCACGGAGGACTGTTTCCCCCAGGAACTTGACCTTGACCAAAGTGTGTCCACAACGACCTAGCTCTCTGATTCTCCAGGTATTTGAATCTGTGATGTCTCTAAGTCCCCAGGTGTGTCTACGCTGATTGCGGTGAATCCTTAATTCAACAGGTGTGTCAGCCTGACCTGGCATCTCTCCCTAATTACCCACATACGTCTTCCCTGACTTAGGGTGTCACACTCCTACCCCCCACTGTGTCTAGCCTGATCTAGAATATCTCCCTATTTCCATTGACGTTTTTATCTAATAATTCCCCAGATGTGTCTGCACGGATGTGTGACATTCCCTTAATTCTCCTGTTTCTACTTTGATGTGGAATGTCTACACTAACCTGGAATGTCTCCTTAATTCCCCAGGTAGGTCTACCTCTACTGGGATATCTGTTTAATAATACAGATGTGTCTACACAGATGGGGGGTATCTACTTTATTATGAAATAGGTGCATCTCTTTTGACCAGGGCTGTTTCCCTAATATCCCAGGTTGTGTCTGTCCTGACATAAGGTGTCCCCTTGTGTCCCCAGGGGAAGGCACCATGACTTAGGAGGTCTCCTTGATTCCTCAAGCATTTCTGTACCAACCTGAGAAATGTGTTTCCCCAGGTGTGTGTTCTCTTCCCTCAGAGGCCTTTAATTCTCCAGCTCCAGCTCCCCTGATCAGGAATGTCGCCCTTTTTACCCTGGTGTCTGCAAGCTGAACCTGGACTTCTCCTTAATAATCATGTGTGTACATTTATCTGGATAGCTTTTCTAAAGTCTTATTTATTTTTGAAAGAGAGCCAGAGTATGCGCGGGGGAGGGGCAGAGGGTGAGGGAGACACAGAATCTGAAGCAGGTCCCAGGCTCTGAGCTGTCAGCACAGACCCAGTGTGGGGCTTGAACTCACGAACCGTGGAATCATGACCCAAGCTGAAGTCGGATGCTTAACTGACTGAGCCATCCAGGCGCCCCTCTTTTCCCCTACTCTTATCTGAACTCTCTACCCCGGAGTGTCTACACTCAAGGACGTCTACCTAATATCCCACGTGTGTCTATTCTGACCTTTGTTGTAATCTCTTACTCCCTGATATGGCCACACTCACATGGGACGTCTTCATAATTCTCCAGATGAGTTAAATGTGACTCAGGATGATCCCTTCGTCCCAGGTCGGCCTCCCCTGACCTAGAGTTTCTCTCTAAGCCCTAATGTGACTCCTCCTACCCGGGAGGTGGACCTTATTCCCCTGATGGCTCTACTCTGACTGCGTGTCGATGACGGGACGCCTCTCTAGTTCCCAACATGCTTTTCTGCTCTAATCTGGGATTTTGGCCTAGTTGCCAGGAGTGCCCACCTTTGTAAGCTATTTCTCCAAAATTCCCTTGGTGGGTTTAACCGAACGCTTGCAGCTCTCTAGAAGTGACTTTTCTATTGCAAAATATCTACAGTTACAGCAAGAATCTGTTACCACTTTTACATCGTGGGTTTTTAATATTTATTTTGCATGTGCACAAGTGGGGGGGGGGCGGGAAGGGGCAGAGAGAGAGAATATCCCAAGCAGGCTCCATGATGTCAGCACAGAGCACAGGGCTCAATCCCATGACCCTGGAATCAGGGGCTGAAATCTAGAGTCGGACACTCAACCGACTGAGCCCCCCAGGCGCCCCATCGTGTTTGCTTTCATAAATAACTCAAAAAAATTGAAACCCAGTTACACATGATAAAAAAACAATGCAGATTGGCTTGCAAAAGTAAAAACAATCTCACTATAACCAATGTGAATTTTTTGGCTGGTTAAATTTGGGCAGATGGGAACCTTGGATTTGGGGTATTTTCCAAACATTTGATATTATCCTCCGGTTATTTCTGTAATAATAACCCTCTTATTGTGTATCTTTTCAAGAGTCTTCAGTGCTCTTTAGTAAACACTAATCAAAGGATCTCCACGTGAACGGAAGAGAAAAAACTACACAAACAAGGATTTCCGGAACAGCCTCATGAGATCTTCAGAAGGGTCGTGTGACAACCCAGAGTGCCGGTCAGCAGTCGCCCACTCTCAGTTCAACAGTAAGGGGCTGGTTTTTATTTTAATGTTTATCTTTAAGAGAGAGGGTGAGCAGGGGAGATGCAGAGAGAGAGAAGGCAGAAGATCTGAAGCGGGCTCCGCGCTGGTAGCAGAGAGCCTGACACGGGGCTCAAACTTGTGAACCACAACATCATGACCTGGGCTGAAGTCAGATGCTCAACCCACTGAGCCACCCAGGTGCCCAGGAAGGATAATTTTTTTAAAAAATATTTTTATTTATTTCTAGGAGAGAGAGAGACAGCGTGAGCAGGGGAGGGTCAGAGAGAGAGGGAGTCACAGACTGAAACAGGCTCCAGGCTCTGAGCTGGCGGTCAGCACAGAGCCCGACGCGGGGCTCGAACCCACGAACCGCGAGATCATGACCTAAGCGAAAGTCGGACGCTTCACCGACTAAGCCACCCAGGCGCCCCTAATCTTTTTTTTAATAGAGGGGCGTCTGGGTGGCTCAGTCGGTTAAGTGTCCAATCTTGATTTCGGCTTGGGTCGTGATCCCGGGGTTGTGGGATTGAGCCCCGCACTGAGACCCACGCTGAGCATGGAGCCTGCCTGGGATTCTCTCTCCCCCTCGCTCGTGCTTTCTCTCAAAAATAAAATAAAATCTTAAAAAAACAAATGAAACGGAGACCACTGGTTGGATATGCCCCTACACCAGACTCCTAGTCACCTAGCCAGGCTCTAAAACTGTCCTGCTTCCAAAAATGCTAATAACTCCAATTTTAAACAAAACTTAAGCTTTCTTCGTGTCAGCTTGACTTGATAGGTTCCAAGCTAATCAGCTGTATTCAAGCCAGCGGATGTATTGAAAAGCTATGTAAATTACTAATTCCAGTTACAATGGAAAGTGATGCACTTGCACATTCACGCTTTTCAGACGGAGCTGTCACAGCTGAGGGCGGCTTCTTAGCCACTTGCAGTGCGAATGTATCCCTGTTTCCAAGATGCTGGCTTCTCGGTAAGATCTTCAGCTCCAGTAAAGCTCTCTGAATTTTACTTTCCTAGCAGACCCACCTGAAGGACTAGATGGCCCAGGTAAGTGCAGACACACCACGTGAAGCAGGGAGGCACCATGCACCCCCGGGGACTAAGAAGACACCCTACAGTAAGGTGGACATCCCAGGCAAGAAGTGACAAACCTATGGAAGTAGACATCCAAGGTCAAAGCAGGCACAGCTGGGGCGCTAGGGAGACAACGCAGGTGACGAAACTGGGAATCACCCCCAAGGCAGGGGTGACGAGACCGGAGACTCGGACATCGCAGGTCCCAGTAGACACACCTGGGAGACCGGACGTCTGACGTCAGCACAGAACCTCACGGGGACCACGGGAGGCCGCCCACACCAGCGCAGGGTCCTGGGGAGCCAGGGGGCCAGGCCAGGTGGGCGCACACTCACCGAGGAGACGTTGCTGGTCAGAGTAGACGCACCGGAAAAAGATCCCCCAGGTCCGTGCAGACAACCTGGGGACTTAGAGACCTAGGAGGTCAGGGTAGAAGCAAATGGGAAAATGAAGATCTGTGCCAGGTTAGAGAGTCACCTGTTGTGAATCAGGCGACATCCCTGATCTTGGCTGACATTTCAGGGGAACAGAGAAGACACAGTGAGTAGAGTGACAACCAGATCAGGGTTGACCTATCTGGGGAAACGGAGTCATTCCGGGTCCCTGAAGATTAGACTAGAAATCAGAGTGGCGTCCCAAGCCGGGACAGACACACTCCGGGTGTTCAGGAAACAGGCCCAGTCAGTCGAGGCACACCTGAGGCGGCGAGAAGCCCTCCAGGTTTGCTACGGGAACACCTGGGAACGAGAGAGAATCCAAGTTTAGGACACACTCGGTGACGAGAGACGATCCCAGGTAAAGGAGAAGTACCTTGTGAATTACGGGGACACTGCAGTTCAGTGTAGACCCGCCTGGGGAACTTGGGAGACGTAACCAAATTCAAGTAGACAAACCTGGAGGCTTAGGGAGGACCCCAGCTACGTGTAGCTCCACGTAGGACACCTCTCCCGGGCCAGGGTGGACATGCCCGGGGAATGAGAGAAGTGCCCGAACTCCGTGCGGCCCCACCTGGGTGGACACGCCTGAGGAATCAGGGCTCCAGCCCAGGTCGGGTAGATACTTGGTGAACTTGGGGACATCCCAGACGACCGTAGAGACACCTGGTGAGAAGACGTCCAAGATAAGAGAAGGCACAGAAACGGAGACCCCGCAAAGTCAGAGACACCCCTGGGACATGACGGAGGCAGCACAGGTCAGCGTAGCTTCGGCTAAGGAAGCAGGGAAATACGCCAGGTCAAGGGCACTGCCTCTGGGAAAGCAGGCAGATTACCAGGTACTTGCAGATGCCTGAAGAGGTCGGTATACTTCCAGAGCCAGTGTAGACATGACTAGGGAATCGGAGGCCATCTAAGCCCAGTGGGGCCCTGACTGAAACTTAGCACAGACACACCTGCGTGAGTAGGGAGGCCGCCCGGTTTACAGACGACCTACCCAGGAAGCAGCCATCCCACCCGGGAGACAAGACGTGGCATGTGAGGAATTAGACGTCACAGCTCGGGGAAGACACTCGGGCAGGGAGAGAGTAAGGTCCCGAGTAAGAGCGTCACCCCTGTCGATATCTGAGGGAAGTTTAGCGCAGACTCTCTAGACCCTCACGGAGGACGAGGGGGAGACGTACCAAGTGAGAGAACGCGACTGGGACCCGAGGAGGCTTCCCGCGTCAGCGCGGACACAGCCGGGAAAGTGGGCACGAACCAGGCCAGAGCAGGCTCACCCGCGGAATCGGGTCCGACGCCCGAGTGGACAGACTTGCCTGGGGGACCGAGGGGCCGTCCTAGAGGAAAGCACGCACACAGGAAGTGTCAGAATAATCCCATTTCTGCGCACATACACGAGCTGTTGTGGGTACATCCCAGGTAGGGGTAGAAACACCCGGGCACTTGGGAGTCATCCCGGGCGAGGGATGACCCCCCTGGGGTATGAGAGGTGTGTCCCAGGTGAGGACAGACAAACACGGAGAGAAAGACAGCCCAGGGAGTATCCCACGAAAGAGCACTGGTTGCTTGGAATTAGTGAGCTGAGGGTCAGTGTGGACTCACGTAAGGAACTATGTATACACAGCAGGGCAGGATACACACTCCTTGGGAATACGTGGATCTGCCAAGTCACAAAAGACCCCCATTAAGAATTAGGGAGACGTCCCACGTCGGTGTAGACCACCCTGGGGAAATTGAGGGGTTTCAAGGTCAGTGGAGACATAATTTGGAAATTAGGGAGACACCAGGGGATTTAAGGAGACCTATCTGGTCACAGAAGACACACCACAGGAAACGGGAAGAAATCCATGGTCAGTTCAGACTGTCCGAGGGGTTCGGGAACTATCCAGGTCAGGGGGGACGTACCTGGAGATGTAGAAAAACATCCACGGTCTGAGCAGAGACACAGGGGAAGTACGGAGACCCGCCGGATACGCAGAGCCATCACCTCTCAGTGTGACGTCCCAGGGGGTTGGGGAAACATCGGGAGATCAGAGTAGACACACTCGTGTAACTAGGGAGACCGCCAGTGTCAAAATCCACAAAACTGGGGAACAGGGAGACATCACAGGTTAGCGTAGAAACACCCAGTAAATAAAGTGACGTCCCAGGTCTGCGGGACAGAGCTGGGACGTGAAGGACACACCCAAGGTCGTTGCAGATGCTCCCGGGAATGCAGAGAGCCGTCCCAGGGCTGCGTGCACACGCCCGGAGCACTAAGCAGGCACGAGGGAGCTGGAAAGGCCCAGAGCACGGAAGACGCAGCTGGGAAGCGAGGGGGAGTTCCAGGGGCAGCTGGGAGGAGGCACAGCTGGGGAGTCCGGGGGATCCCACACCACGCTCAACAGACAGCGATATGGGGCATCTAATGACAGTGTGGACGCGCCAGGGAATTAGGGAGTTATCCCAGGTCGTGTAGACACAAGTAGGGAATTAGGAAGATCTGCCCGGTCTGCGTAGACACCTCTGACGTATGTGGAGTTATCCCAGGTTCGCGAGGGACACCTGCACAATTAGGAAGCTGTCCCAGGTCAGCGCGGACACACTTGTGGTAGGGACACATCCCGTGTCGGTGAACACAGAGCTGTGGGAATGACAGGACAGCCCACGTCAGTGTCATATCTTGAGATGTAGGGGACATCTCGGTTTTGTGTAGACGTGTTTGGTTAAGTAGGGAGACATCGCAGGGCAGAAGTGCCCTTGTGGGCGGTAAGCAAATACCCTACGTCAGAATACACACACCCGGGGTATTGGTGAAGCATCCGAAGACCGTGTAAGCACACTTGGGACAGGCTGGAGACGCCAAAGCCAGAATAGACACCCATGGGGAAGCAGAGGGTAGTCGCAGTGTAGACATGCCTGCGTCACTGGGAAGACATCCCAGGCAGGGCAGACACACGTGGAGACCCGGGAGATCACCCATTTCAGTTTAGATCCTCTCGCCCTGATAGACATTTGTCCCAAGTCAGTGTAGACACACAGGAGGGTCTAGAGAGCCATCACTGGTCAGGACAGACACTGCTGCAGTTAGAAAGGCAACACACCTAAGCCACAGATACGACCACACGAGTGTAGACACACCTGGACTATCAGGAGCTATGTAAGAAAATCCAGGAGAACAGGGAGACACACGAGGCTTGAGGAGACACACAATCAGAATTAAGGCGATCTCTCGTGAGAAAACGTGCCCGGACAATTAGGGAGACACCCCACAGTGGTGTAGACAACCAAGTTAAGTATACACACACGTGGGGGACTCGGGGGATACCCCGGTCAGGGCCGACGCTCCCGGAAAGCAGACGTCCCAGGCCACGGTAGACGTCCTCGGGATAGGAGAGCGCCATCCCGGATCGGGGCGGACGCATCTGTACGGAGAGAGGAAGTAAGATTAGAGCAAAACCCCTGGGGTCCCACGTGCCGCCCCAGGTCAGAGAAGGCACCCGGCACAGACCCCGGTCAGTGCTCACTCACCTGAGGAATTAGGGAATCCTCTGAAGTCAGTGTAAACATTCCTAGGGAACTACGGAAACACCCAGATCAAGATAAAAACACCTGTGAATTGGGGCACCTGAGGGCTCAGTTGGTTAAGCGTCCACCTTTGGCTCAGGTCATGATCTCCGGGTTTGTGGGTTCGAGCCCCGCGTCAAACTCTGTGATGCCAGCTCGGAGCCTGGAGCTGCTTTGGATTCTGTGTCTCCCTCTGTCTCTGTCCCTCCCCTGCTCATGTTCTCTCTCTCTCTCTCTCCTAGAAATAAAAATATTTAAAAAAATAAAAAAAAATAAGAATTTAAAAAACACCCGTGGATCTATGAAGGTACACCATGTCAGAGTCGACACACCTGGGAATAAAAGAGACATTTTTGGTCATAATAGACACACTTGGGGACTTAGAGAGATAGCCCAGGTCTGTGTAGACACACGTGGAGAAGTAGGGAGCCATCCTGAGTCAAGGTGACGCCCTTCGGGAACGAGGGAGACATACCAGATCAGGGATTTGAGCAGCACCCACACCAGAGAAGACACGGCTGGGGAACTAGGTGGGTCCCGTCAGAGTGGACACGGCTGGGGCCCTGGAGACCACCTACACCGGTGCACATGCTCCTGGGGACCCAGGGGAATAGCAGACTCACCGGAGAAGGAGGGAGACACACCGGAGAGTCAGGGCTGCCACCTTGGAGCTTCCCAGGCGAAACCTGAAGCCGGCATCCTACGTGGGGGGCAGGGAGGGACGACGGAGGCAGGTCACTCCGGGCTGGGGGGTGGCAGCTTTCACAGGCACAAGAACTCACATTCACAGGGTCCTGGGTCGATGCTGACGAGTAGGTCTCTTCACCCACTCGCCGAACGCTGGAAGTTGGTACAGAGGCCTTCACGGGGCTCAGTCCCATGTCGCCGTCTAGACAGTCTCAGCACCACATCGCAATCGAGGCTGTGTCCTCGGGGCAGCTTCTGGGAACAAAGCAGAGGGGGGCGAGCAGAAGGCACAGTCTGATGGGGGTGGGGGGGTGACGAGCCTCCAACTGCCCGGTGTAGCTCCTGCGGCAGCTGGCGGGCACGTCCCCTTGGTGACCACCTCCAACATTTTAGGTCCGAATAAACACGTCTTAGGGAAGAGAGGGGCCTCTCGTGTCGTGGAGACCACAACTGGGAAAGAGAAAGTCACGCCAGGTCAGGGAAGACGCACCGAGGGATTCTGGGGACACGTACAGTGTCAGAGTCAACACACCCGGGGGATGAGGAGGACTCCCGAGTCCCAGGAGACCGAACCCGGAGCTCGGATTCAGGGTCAGAACAGACACCTCGGGTTTATCGTGGAGACGCAGCCAGGCAGGTATCAGCAGGCGTCCGAGGGAAATAAGGAGCTCTCGGGGCACCCAGCAGTCATCCACGTTCAGTGTAGTCACAACTCGGCAATTAAGGAAACATTTCCAGTCAGTATAGATATTTCAAAGGATTTAGACATTCCAGGTCAAGTAGACACACTGAGGGAACTACAGACTTACCAGGTCAGTGTAGACATACCTGAGGAATTAAGACGACATCAAAGGTCAATACAAACACCTCTAGGACAACCGGAAGACATCCCAGACACACCTGGGGAATTAGGGAGAACCCCGCCCCCAACCGCAGGTAATTAGAAATATCTGGAAATTTAGAGCGACCACTAACATTAAAGTAGACACAAACAGGGAATTAGGGAGACATCACACGTCAGGTAGGAAATGCTAGGGAATTAGGGAGACCTGCAAGATCAAAGTAGAAAGAAAGGAATCAGACATCCTTGATAACAGTAGATTAACCTGGGGAATTAGGGAAACATTGTAGGTCAGTGTAGACATGTCTGGGGGATTTGGGAAATCTCCCGAGTCAGAGTAAACACGACTGGGGAGTTAGAGAAACATCCCACGTCATAACAGACACACCCGGGGCCCTAGGGAGTCATTCTCATTCGGTATAGACATTCCTGTGAAGTTAGGCAGACATCCTGTGACAAGGTAAACTCCTGAATAACTAGAGTTGTGTTCCAGGTCAGTGTAGACACATTTGTGGAATTAGGGAGACATCCCACATCACAGTGGACACGTGCAGAATCTGGGAGGCATCACTGGGCAGGGTAAACACCTGGGGAAGAAGGAATACAAGCCAGTTCGGAGTAATCAACTAGGAAGAGAGACATCCTTCCTCAGTGTGGTCAAGCCCGGGGAACTGAACAGCCAGACCGCACTGGACACGTGGGGAAGTAGAGAAACAGCCTAGCTCAGCGTAGAAACAACTGGAGAAGTACGGCAATACCCAAGGTGCGCGTGGACACGTGGGTGACGAGGTAGACATCCACGGCTGGGCAGACACACGTGGGCAAAATTGGGGAGCTATCTGAGGGCAAAGAAGACGAAGTGAAGGAACAGGCTGACATCCCCCGTCATGGGAGATACACAAGGAGAATTACAGAGACCCCCCGGGTCCGCGTACACACCGGAGAAACCAGGGCAACACCACTGGTTACATTCCGTGCCCTGGGAACTAGAGACATCCCAGGTCATGGGAGACACAATCTGGGATTTACACCAACATCCCAGACGAGTGGAGACACACCTGGGTTATTAGACTGACCTCTCAGGTCTGAGCAGACTGATCTGAGTGGTCATGGAGACACCCGAAGCCAGCGTACACCGTCCTGTGAAATCAGAGAGAGATCACAGGCCGGTGTAAGCACATGGGCAATTAGGAAGGCATCTAGTTCACTGCAGATGAAACTGAAGAATTAGGTAAATAGCGCTGTCAGAGTAGACACACGGGATGTCCCGAGTCCTTGCTGGCACATCTGTGGATTAGGCATCTCACGTCAGGACACACACCTGGGGATCTAACACACATCCCAAGACCAGTGTATACATACGGGGAATTAGGGAGATCTCTCAGCCTACTGTGGACCCACAATCCTCAGGGCAATGAGGGCGAGGTCCCTGGTCAGTGTGGACACAGTGAATTAGGGACGGATATACGCTGGCATAGGAAACATTCCAGATGAGACACACCTACAGAGTCAGGGCGGCAGAGAGGACACACCGGTAGTCACAGAGATGTCACGAATCAGTGGATACACACGTGGGGAGCCGGGGAAGCGTTCTAGGAGTGTGGAAACACCTGTGGAAGCTCAGAGACGTCCTGGTCACAGTAAGCACACCTGGGACATTAGGGAGACGTTCCTGTCGGTGTGGACACAGTACTGGGGTTAGTGAGATTTCCAAGGTCCGTGTAGACACGACTCAGGAATGATGGAGATATCTCAGGTTAGCGTAGACAAACCTGAGGAAATGAGGACGTATCCCAGGTCGGGATGACACAAGCAGGTAGTGAGAAGTCAGAGAGCCATGTGGATGTAATTACAGACAGAGATGAGGGGTCGCGGTACACACGGATTATGTCTGTTACCTACCAGGTCAGGTTACACGTACATCAGAGATTCTGGGGTCAGAGTAGCCAAAACTGGGGTACTGAGGGGGACAAAACTGAGTAATATAAGAGACCAGAACACAGTACACAAACCCGGGGAATCAGGATCACATCCCGAGCAGTGTAGACACATCTGGATAACTAGAAACATATCCCTGGTCAGTGTGGAAAAATGGGGAATTAGGGAGAAAACCCACACCCCAGTAGAAACATTTGATAAATAGGGAAACAACTCAAGTCAGTATAGACACTGGGAATATTGTGAGGGCTTCCAAGGTCAAGGACACACACCTAGAGAACTAGGAAGACATCAGGTCAAAGTCAACACACCGGGGAATTAGCGGCCATAGCAGGTCAGGATAGGCAAACCAGAGAATTAGGAAAATATTCTAGAAGAGCGTATGCATATGGGGGTTGCCGGAACACCCCTGCTGAGCACTGACACGCCTGGGGGTGTGAGAGACGTCACAGCAGGGGGGACTCTTCTAGGCCATCAGTGACGTCCCAGGTCAGTGCAGACGCTCCTGAGAATTAGGGAGGCATCCGAGGCCAGCGTGGACACGCGAGGAGTAAGGGGGACATCTAAGCAGAGCGGACACAGCTTGGGGACTGAGGGTAAAGGCAGGCACACCTGAGAGCCTAGGGGGCGTCCCGTGTCCCGGGAGACACCCTTGGGGTGCTGTGGCCAGTTCACAGGTCGGGGGCAGGCCAGCCGGGAATAAGGGAGACGTTCCATGTCAGTGGAGACACACTCGGGGAATTCGGCAGACCGCCCAGACCCGGGTGGAAACTTCCGAAGAGGAAGCGTCTGGTCCTCAGAGGAGACACAGCTGGGGAAGTAGGGAGCCGTCCCAAGGTCAGGCGGGTCCACCTGGGGGGCGGGGTGAGGGCGGACCCGCTTGGGGAACGGGAGAAGTGCCAGGTCGGGGGGCATCTGAGGACTAGGGGAGCCCCCCGGGGACGGCAGCCCTGCCTGCGTATTAGGGGGTGTCCCCTGTTCAGAGTAGACCCATCCAGGGAGTTAGGGGGACATCACTGGTTAGTTTGGACGAA